AGTTAGATAAATATGAACACCCTTTTAAGGAGTTGAAACCTAGGGAAGTTTAATAACATGTTCAAGCTCTTATAGGCAATAAAAATGGCAAAGCTGGGCCCTGACCCCAAGCCTATTCACTTTTCACTTGGCATTTACTTTGCAGGGAAATTGGACTGGTTACGGTAAATTGTGTAGAGCTCAGAATCCCAGGTCTAGTACTCCTTCCTGGAGTACATATAGAGTAACTAAACTGGAAGAAATATGATGAGAACTTGGTGTTCAAGAGAATTTAAATAAGTGGATTTTGAGGAGAGGCAGTAAAACAGAAGAAAAAATACTATTAAAATAACCCAGGTGTGAAATAATGAGAATCAGAATTGGGATGCAAAAGAAAAGAACATGAGAGATTTCCAAATGAAAATTATTGTAACTTGGTGACTGAACTCTAAGGAATGAAGCAGAGTGAAATAAGTTTGACGTGTATTTGCAGTTATAATTGAGTCTATGTTGGATTCATTCATTGCTGTTCTTTTGTCAGAATTTTAATAATTAGTAATGAACTTTCCTTGTAGTCTTAAAAGTATTTGATCTTGAATTTTTTATGCTAATGAAAATTTCTTAGGTTAAAAGACATAAAGGAAAAAAAGTTTCTCAAGAACTTAGTTAAGCTAGTTAAATTTGCATAATTAAAAATTTTTAAAGCTGCATATTCAACTTTAAGGTTGAATAAATGAATGAAATTTTAAATTACCTTTAAATGAAAAGAATAAGAATTCATGAATGTTCACAAATTTGTAGGTTTGGCAGGACAGGATGGACTTTGAAAGTCATTCTCTTTTAATTTTGTTTTTGATTTAAAAAAAAAAAAGGACATTGACCTCAAAGCTTATAGATATGTGGCCTTGGGCAAGTTATTAGGTTTCTTTGAATATCAGTTTTCTCATTTAAAATAGGGATATCAGTAATACCAATGTCATAGGATTCTGGAGAGAATTAAGTGAGATAATATAAATAAAACAATAAAAATGGTTTGTGGCCCGTAGTAAACTGAGTAACTAAGTATCCGAGGAAGGTAGAGAGGACAGTCAGGTGTGGGTTTAATTATGAATGTTATTAAGAGTCAAATCACATTTCCTGAATTCTTTTAATTCGTACTTTTTTTTTCAATTCCACCGTGCTAATCCATTTTTCTCTGTATCTCTGACAGTCTCAGTCTTTACCTCCTTGGATTTGTGGTTCTATAATCCCACAATACCTAGAGCAATCAAGGAATTGTTCTGCTTTCTCCTTCTCTTTCCTCTTTTCCTCCTGAAGGCCAGGTTCGTGGGCCCTTCATATTTACCTACCAGAAAGGTACCGGCGCGTGGGGACCGCGGGCTTTCAGTTTCTCCAGAGCCACCCCATCTTTGCCACTACACATAAAGGTAAACTGGGACACCCTTTTATGGCTCTTGGTCTTTTTTCTGAATCTTCATGGAAAGTTAACATTTTGTGGCCTAACCATGAATAAATAAAACTGATTTTTTTTTCCTTTTATTTCTCTCTTCTTTTCCTGTGAAATCCTTTGTGCTTTTTATCTGCCACGATAATAGTTGTTTTTGAAAGCTTTTAACTTACAAAATTACTGCTAATTTGCTACTGTGCAGGGTATTTTGGCTTGGGGAAATTGTTACAACGTTTTGAATTTTAGTCTTACTGTTCAAAAGCAGAGGTTGTGATAAAAAAAGTGTCCTGGTCATGTTGTACTTCTTACCTGTGACTCTCTGCTTGAGTTTTTATAGAAATAAGATAATTCTCTTTTCTGGATGCTTGTAATTGCCAGCATATATTGAAAAATTTGTCCGTACTGGTAGAGAAAGTTTTTAATTCTTATATAATTTTAATGTCATTAATATGCAGTATAGAATAGTTGGCGATTTAGAACAGTGTTTCTTGGGAATTCCTTGGCTGTCCAGTGATTATGACCCGGTACTTTCACTGCCTGGGCCCAGGTTCGATCTGTGGTTAGGGAACTAAGATCCAGCAAGCTGTGAAAAATAAGAACACTCTTTTTCCTTTATTGCCCGCCACCCCACTCCCAGGAGTCTTTTGAAACAGTTTTTTCCTTATTGGCTTCCTACCTCCATAAAATTTTAATCCCACAGATGCAGTTATCTGTGTATGTATTACATGTACGTCTGTTTCATACATTCAGAGTAAGGGGGTTTTGTACTCCCATCTCCAGGGTCAGTGTCTGTCTGCTTGAGCTGGTGCTGCTTGCATGCTAGTTACAGCAGCAGGGTCTCAGAATTTTTGGTTTCAGGACCTTTGAGTTTTCAAAAGTTATTGAGTACATTGAAGACCTTTAGGCTGTGTCTGTCATATCTTGTGAAAATTTCACCATATTACAAATTAAAGTGAGACAGTCACAAATAGTTATTAATTTATTTAAAAGTTATTGTAAAAAATAACTCCCCAAACATGACATTGTTACGCTTTTTTGCAAGTTCTTCAAGGTCTGGCTTAGAACAAACGGCTGGATTCTCATGGTTGCCTCTGTATTCAGTCTGTTACAATGTTTTTTTAAAAAAAAGCTGGTGTCATACAGATATGTAGTTGGAAAAGGAAGGAGTATTTTGATAACCTTTTCAGATAGTAGATATCTCTCTTCTTTGATGTTACACCAAAATGTGACAATTTGTAGTTTATTAAAGGGATAAGTTGCAGTGTAGAATCTCATACTGTGTAAAAATGTTCTGTCCGGTTACTCTGAAACCCATGGGTCTGTCTTTCCCTTTGAGTGAGTGTTTTGTTCATGAATAATTTTGTACCATCGTACGTTGGTCATTTAGAAAATACTGGTTTCCTGGCTTATCCAGATCTCCCAAATGTTGGTAATAGAACCAATACTTACATGTCATTAATATCACCACTAATCAGCTTCCGTGGTGGCTCTGATGGTAAAGAATCTGCCTGCCATGCAGGAGACATGGGCTTGATTCTTGGGTTGGGAAGATCCCCTGGAGAAGGAAATGGCAGCCCACTCCAGTAGGCTTACTTGGAGAATCCCATGGACAGAGGAGCCTGGTAGGCTACAGTCCATGGGCTCACAAAGACTAGGACATGGCCGGGCGACTAACACTTTCACTTTTTTCACTAATCATTTCAGAGACTCTCTAAAAATTATTGTCAAGCTTTTTTATTTTATTATTTAAATATTGTCCTTGGCAGTAAATACTATTAGTTATTTTTCTTGAAGTAATAGGCTTCATTCATTTCTGAGAAATATCTGATATAATCAAGTCTAAAATCAGTTTGTCAGTTCTTTGAAACAAAAAACCTGTTCTGTGAAGATGACTCAGCTTGTAACTCAAACAGTTGTTCAAGTGCTTTTTCTTCACTCACCATACCTTTGTATGCAGCAGGAATGCTTTATGTGTATTTCCCAGTTTGTCACACAAAATATTAACAAGTTGTGTGTGTTCAGTCTCAGGATTTAATAAATTAAGAATTTTGCTCTGACAGTATGGTGATCAAGAATATAATGGTACATGGTTTGACTCCTTGATGAGGTTCCAGGTGCTTACCACCTTTGCTGTTTACTCATCATTGGATTCTGAGATGACTTGGCTTCATAAAGTAAAAAAGATGTTTTTCAAAATGTCAGGTTCTATTCCTAGGCCTAAAGGTCTAAAGATTATCAACAGTTTTAGGTTTTTCTTTTTAAAGGTAAATGCTAAACCTGCTTTGTTTTATAGTCCAGTCAAATGCATTATTGCTCTTGGTTCTGAAATTTGCATTAAACCCACCCCATTCACCCCTCAATCCACAACAGTGTTTGCAAATAATTTAGGTGAAAAAAAAAATGTTAGTGGTAAACAGTGAAGGTTTCTTTCATTGTTTATCAATTCGAGAAAACTTCAGTGGCAAAACACTCTCCTTCATTGTTAGTCTTATCATTTATGATGTCTGAACATAGTCTCCTCTGTAAGACACCTGCACCCATTTTGGAGTAACCTTCATTTCATTTGGGAGGCTTTTTTTTAAAATAAGATAGAGCCTGTTATTACCATCTGTCTCGTCATTCCTGCCAGAGAGCTGCTTGCTGTGTGGGAGAAATAGCACACAGGGTTCTTCTGTCTGCTGTAATTGATTATTGCCTCTGGTTCCCAAACAGTTCTTCTGATTGTTAGTTTTTAAATTTTAAGTACTTTAAATATTTTGTCCCCAATTATATAGTAGTACTTCATTTAAAAGGATTTTAAAAGTACAGAGAAGATACACATCAGAAAAAAAAATCTATTAGCTTTCCCATCCTTAGATTTATTCTTTCTTATAATTACTGATGATTAATAGGTTTGTCAGCATTATAAATAAGCTGTGACATCCATGCCTTGTGTATGTGTGTGTATATATACATATGTATTTATAATTTTTTTCTGATTCTACCCAAGTTTTTCTGTTGAAGGAGATGATGGGTTCAAAAGGGCAATCTTTCACAAGGCTCTTAAGATGAATTGTCAATGTAGCTTTCTAAAATGATTGACTCAATTTCTCGTTTTACCAGTGTTGTATTTCTCCACATCTTCACCAGCATTGATACTATGTTAAATGCTTCTTAAACAGAAAACATTATGCAAGTTAAAACATGAACTTTTTAAGCAAAAGTTAAGTGATTAGGCCTTACTAATACAACAAAGAGCAAACTGTATTTCTTATTCCTAGGTATCCAAGCTGAACTGAACTTAAAGGATTTTTCTTACCATTCTGATGTTGTGGAGTCTTTAGATCAGATACCTTTCTCTAGTTCATAACATTGTTTGAGCCAGTACAATCCTTTTGTACAGTGAGGGTCAGAGATAAAAGTTCAGTTTTTGTATCCTTTTGATATTTTTTTTTCCCTCTCTCTACTTCAGACAGCTGTAGAGTGGTTTAGGGAGGAGTATATGTGCATTTTCCTTTATTACATAAAGCAGATTTGGATAATGTATGATTGTAGTATGTATCAGAGTTCTCTGCTCATTCTGTGTAAATTTCAGGTGTGCAACAGAGGAACATGGCTCAAGAAACTAATCACAGCCAAGTGCCTATGCTTTGTTCCACTGGCTGCGGATTTTATGGAAACCCTCGTACGAATGGCATGTGTTCAGTGTGCTATAAAGAACATCTTCAAAGACAGAATAGTAGTAATGGTAGAATAAGCCCACCTGGTAAGTAGTTCTTACCTGGTAAGTAAAACACAGTGCTGTTCATAACTGAGATACACCTGAATAGCACAGGATACCTGGCACCTCTTTCCCCTTTCACACTGTACTTGCATTACTACATTTACATCAGGAAAATGTCTCAGTACACATTGTAAGGATCATTGGTAAGGCAAGAGAAAGAGGAGTATCTCCACTCATTGAAAAGAACTACTGTAGATCCATCTCAGTCTTACGTGCTGTGCTCGAGAACTGTTATCTTACTAATTAATAAAATAGATGCACACTCCAAGTATGTAGAGCTGTCTTGGAAAATAAGCTCTGAAGGAGTGAGGGCTGTGTGAGGAGGACCTTGGTTCTTTTCTCTAGGATGACTTCTGAGGCCAACGTAATTGTAGGAGGAGAGAGTTCCACTTAGATAGCCACAGATGACTTCAGAGAAAGCCTCCATTCTACATAGGAAGGAGAGGTGGGGCAGTTTGACTCAGAGAAAAGGGTGTTTGTTCATCCCCAGTTCACTTGAGTTCTTTATTCATTTTTATGTCAGAGGATTCTCCTGGAATTGAAGTAGCTTTTGCTTCAGTGATTGTGTAAAAAGGGATTTTGAACATGAACTTTACTCATCTAGGATAGTTCTCATATATGTTAATGCCTGAATGTGTAGGTTTCTGTGGTTAATGAGAGTGCAGGCTGTTACTTAGTTCATTTAAAATTGCTTGTGGAGTCTATTTCATCATTGCTTCCTGTTTAAGCCAGACTTCTTTAAATTTTCTTGAGGCTAAAATCAAGTGAATATAAGTTACTATATTGTTTTGTAAAATCATTGTCTACATTTTTGCCTTATGAAGAACAGGTAAAATAATATAACCTGAGTGCAGATTTTAATTCTGAATTTACATTTGCCTTACTGCTGAATTCTTTTTTATTTTAAAGATCTCGTTGTGCACTATTATTTGGAAGACATTTATGAATTAAAGAGTTTGGGCGATAATCCTAAAAAATAGTCATTTAGATCTTGACTATGTATATTTTGTGTGTGGTAAAATTAGCATCCTTTTCATAGGAAAATTATTGAAAACTTTTAGCTAAAGTAATGAACCGGCATATTACATAGTAAAACAAAATCCCTATACTGTATTTCGTGGGAAACTGATCTTGGTTTTTTTAGATAAGGTGCTGGCCCGCCCAGGGCACAGAGTCACTAACGTGCAATGTGGTCCTGTTGCAGCACCTTCTGTCACAAGTCTGTCTGAGTCCTTACCAGTCCAGTGCACAGACGGTAGTGTCCCAGAGGCTCAGTCAGCACTAGACTCCACAGCTTCATCTATGCAGCCAAGGTAAGAGGCCGCCTCTGAACTGTGACCAGAGAGCTATTGAAAAGTAAGGCATTTTTTTCTGTATCTGGTCAGTTCTGTTATTTAAGGAAAACGATTTAAAGTCACTTTAGGATTAACTAGCAGAAAATCGTATCTGTCTCATTATTATCACTGACTAGTCAAAAAAATCTTTTTATTGGTATTACATTACGGTGAGAGTAGGGAGTTGTCTTAAAATTTAATGAAAAGATGTTGTTTTTCAGACAGCTTTTCTTCTTTTTCTTCATAATGTATTCCGACCAACCCTTGAAGTCCTTTTGAAGCATGTTAAGTTCTTCTAGTCATAGGCCTTTGATGCAAATACTAGTGCTTTGTATTAAAAAACGGGTTTGTCACAGGTTCTCTGTTTAATATCATGTGATCCTGTTCTCTGTTTAATATTATGATGTCGTCCTGGTATCTATTTGTATTGTAGTGTATTTTCTTTTTAACTGAAGTCTTTTAGAAGCTGGAAACACAGAAATATTTGTTTCATTCTTACCCTGCTGTTAGGAAACATATACCAAGTTTCTGCTCTGAAGTTCCCTTTTCTGGTTCTCCTGTGTCCATCAGTACATCATATACAACTTTGTGTTAGGGTTCCTGAAGCATGTCTTTATCATACTAGTGTTCATTTAGTGAATTCATACACAGTAGACACATTCTGTGGCTTTATTTCAAAGTAAAAAAATTTTTGGTCCAAATTGGTCTCAAATTTCAAAATTCTGTAGTTACGTAGAAGTTATTTTTTTTTTTAATTTCTGATTAATTCCTGTCTTAATGATCTGCTTAAATAATGTTGAACTCTTACTTATTAATCACTTAATTTCTAGCCATGAATAGAGATCATCTTTTAAAATCTAAATATTTTTGCTTTTCTAGCCCTGTGTCAAATCAGTCACTTTTATCAGAGTCTGTATCGTCTTCCCAAGTGGACAGTACATCTGTGGACAAAGCAATACCTGAAACAGAAGACCTGCAAGGTTTGTACATGATCTAGCATATGTTTGGTCATTTATTTAATGTTAGAGTATTCCTAGCCAGGCACTCTCCTAGATGCATGTGTTTCTTAAATTGCCTGCCTGATACATATTTTTTATATTTGTTTTCTTTATGATCAGGGTGTTCTACATTCTTAAGTATTTAATTGACTGAAATATAGGGAGCCTTTTCCTACTTATATGTAATTAGGTCATCAGCATCAACATAGAAATCTAAAAATCTGTTTTGTTTGACAAATATAATTAAATGAATGAGTGGTTGTGTTACATTGTTCTCTTTTACTGTTTTGTCTGTTTTAACCTAAATACTCTTTCCTCTCCCATGAACCGGGGCTGCTGGTTTAAGAGGAATCTCTTGCTTTGGACTTGGATTATCTATTTACTTTGACTGGCAGTGACCTCCCTTTCCCCACGTGTGACTTTGAGCCCAACAGTCATGCTCAGTTACTCTTATTTATAGCATGGCATCTCAAGTTCTTGCCCATGCTCTTTGTATCCCCATTATGTGAACCAAGGTGAAGTGGGTCTAGGAAGACCGGAATATGTGTATGAAGGCTTTCTTAGTGGGCAGAGCTAGTAGAGGAGACATTTAGGGTGCTGTGAAAAAATCTATGCTTGGTTAGTTATATTCTACTAGTGTGTGGAAATGATGTATTAATTGAGAAGGATACTCTGGGAAGAAGCCCGAAGATGAGCTGTGTGTCATTTGACCTGTGACATGATTTAAATGGACGCGATGCCGTACCCATTGAAGCCTTCCACTGTACATGGTGTTCACAGGGTGATGATAGGTATACCTGGCAATCTTAGCTGAAGTTTGCTAAAGTTTAAATTTAGTTAAGCTAGCTAAATTCCCCTTCTTCTGATTTCATGCCCAACAAATGATTGGCATAATTTGCCTCCTTACACATTTTGCTGTAGAAAGAAAATGTAACTGTCTGATCAGCATAAATATTCCATGCAATTATGAATATTGTAAATATTCATGATTACTATAAGTGAATTATTATTTTTAGTTAAATAGAAAAGTTTAAGGGTGGACGGAAACAAAGGATATTTTTTAAAGCATAAATAGAAAAATTCCCAAAATTTAGTTACCCATTAGACATGGGAAATAAGACAAGGGTGATGTTAAAGCTTTTAATTGGATGACAGTTGAAACGGCAGTGATGTGTTTGTTGTCACCAGGGAAGTTGAAAGAAGTGATGGTGAGACAAGATTTTAGATAGAGCAAATTGGAAGTGGTCACATTTCAAAACTTAAAAGACTCAATTGGAGGTAGTAGGTGGGTAAATGGGTGTTTAAATGTATGAGCAGTCTTCTCTCTGAGGTTTGGAATCCCTTGGCCCAATTTGGAAGATGAGAGGCAGAATGGAGAAGAGCAGGTAGGGTACCAAGTCTGCACCAGGGAGAGGATACATTATCTAGATCCTGGTTACTTTCAGGCCCCAGATGCAGAGAATTGAGAAACAGGGGTTGCTTGACAGTCTCCAGAGAGAGCCAAGGATGGAAGAATGAAAACAGGCTGCTAACCATGAAGGTGTTATTTACGTCTTAAAGTTGAACAAATTTTAGAATGTTGATAGAAAATATATGCTGCTTAAGAATAAAACTGGTTGTTTTACAAGTTTGACCAAAAAAAAAAAGATTTTAAGTTGGTAAACCATTATAATATGAAGACTCATTTATGGTATATGGATAATAACAACAGTTTTCTTCACCTAGTGCTGAGCACATTAATGCAAAACATGGTCTTGATGCTATGTTAGGAGAAATTGTGCATGCTGAGTCACTTTAGTTATGTCCAACTCTTTGCGACCCCATGGACTGTATATAGCCTGCCAGGCTCCTCTGTCTATAGGATTCTCCAGGAAAGAGTACTGGAGTGGGTTGCCATGCTCTCCTCCAGGAGATCTTCCTGACGAGGAATCAAACCCATGTCTCTCGTATCTCCTGCATTGGCAAGCGTGTTCTGTACCACTATTGAGGTTTTAAATAGTGGGGTTTTAAATTGTATAGACTTCTTTTTTTGTGTGTGTGTAATTTCAGTGATTTAACTTAAACCAGTATTAACTTAAGTACCTTTCAAGAACTTAGCATTCATATTTTCAGCATAGCAGAATCATTGAACAATCAGGTATAAGTTTCATATGAGTTTGAGAGGGTTAGTTTTCCATGTGTAAAATCTCTTAGGCTAGTTTTTAAAAAAAAAAAAGTCTTTTGCTTATACTGTTGAATTGAAAGTGTCTTATTATAAACGCTCATACAACTGTGTGTCTATGCACACACTCATGACACACAATATACCTGTGATTTCCCTATTTGATAGGAATAAATGCAGAGAATATTTTTTTCATCTACTTAATAGATGGACAAAAACAAAAGACATCTTTGACTCAAGTGCTGTAGTCATTTGAGCTGGAACTGGAACCTGGGCACCTGACTCCAGGCCATTATTCTTTCCACTAGACAGCTGTGGTGCTTCCTAGGGTAGGCTGTTAGTGTGTGTGTTCCTGCTGCCAGCTCCCAGCCCCCCTCAGTTCCCAGGGTAGGGTCAGCTGGTTTGGTGATTTGCCCAGGTATCTGTTCTCTCTCTTCCTTATTGTTCCACTTGTATCCCTCAAGCAGAATTTATTAGATAGGAAAATCATCCCAAATGGAAGAAGGCACATGAGTAGCTGTTATGTGCCTAAATCAGAATTCCCTAACATTGTTTATTGGAGTTTTCAGAGTGGTGTCCTTGAAACAGCTTTTTTCTCTGTAGGTATTCTGCTCATAATCAGGTTACGTTGTCACCAGGTGGGTGGCACTTCTTCCATTTGGTCCTCATGGCTCTGAAGAATTTTTTTTCATGTTTAATTGAGAATTTACTATATTAAAGCATCTTTCTCTTTTAATTATGCCTTGTGATTTAATAAATAGCAGTATCTCACTTATACAGTGAGGAATGTGTATCAGTTAGGAACGACAGGTTTCCAGTTTATTAAACCAATAAGTTAGGGTGTAGGGCCAATAATTTGACCTGAATTTTGGTGCAGATGGCCTTGGGTTCACTACTTAATTTACTATCTTAATTGTAATGTTTTAATCAATATATCTTATTCCCCATATTTTAAAGGTTTTATATGAAATATTCTGAGAATTTTGAACATACTTAATAGTCCACTGAATCTTGGTTTTAGGATTTCTTTCCCTTGTATTGTTTGAAATCTACATAGTTCTGACTCAGCAATATTTAGAAGTTTGCATGTGACCATTTTCTTACACATTTTCTTTCTTTCTCCCTCAGAATACCCAAGTAGTGTTTGTGTGTTGTATGTCTTTTATTGATCAAATACATAATTATCAGAAAATTTAAAAAATAAGCACTTTCTAGAGTTATTGTTAACATCTCAATGTATAGTTTTGCTTTTCTGCATGTGTATATACATACATACTTAACATACATATATGCATTTAACAAAAAGGGGGTCATATTATATACTTTGTAACTTAACTGTGGGCATCTTTCCATGTTAATAAATAAATAAATTCAGTTATCCTCTGAATACAAACAGATCAGTGGGGGCAGGTGAGGGTAGCAACCACCTCACCCCAGAATCTCATTGTACAATTAAGTTTCACCACCTTATTTTTGTCAGCTTCAGTATCAGAAACGGCACAGCAGGCATCTGAAGAGCAAAGCAAGTCTCTTGAAAAACCAAAACAGAAAAAGAATCGCTGTTTCATGTGCAGAAAGAAAGTGGGACTTACTGGTAAGGGCCTGAGTCACAAAGTTTAAATTAAGATTTTATTTAAGATAATGCTTGACTTAATATTAATGGCTTCAATTAAGATTATTTCTGTTTCTGTGTGAGTTGATAATGGATATGCTTCACCTCCTGAATTTTCTTAAGTAAAAGTAGCTTTAATTACATACCTAATAGTGAAATGAGTAGCTTTTCTTTTAAAATCCATTTTAGCTGCATTTGAGAATGTTAGACAAGAAAGGTCAGTGTGCCAGGCTCTGTGAAAGGGCAGGGGTGTGGCTCCTGCCTTTGGAACGCCAGATAGTTGTGTGAGAGAGGGTGTTTAAGTACTTGGTGTGTAAAACGGCCAGTCATTGGTTGGTGGTGAGGGCTCACAGAGTTCATACTTGTAAGGTGATAGACCTGTCCTGCCACCCAGTAAGTAATCAGTACATGCTGACTGCTGTAACAGAGCTATTAGATGGTATTAAGAGAGGGGGAAAATGTTCGAAATACTACTTAGCTATTTGGCAAAGAAAGTACATTTAAATGCAGTCAAGTAGATTGCTTTGGGAGTTCAGAAATGTGTGTAGTTATTGATAATTTGTAGGAGAGGAGCAGAGGCCCATCAAAGAATCCGGAAGGTAGGATGTTTCAGCTGGGTCCTGAAAAATTAGTGGGACTTATAACTGATGGACATAGGAGCATTTCAGGCAGAAAAAAAGATAGCTTGAATGAACGTTCAGAGAAAGGAAAGAATAGGGCATGTTTAGGGACCATAAATAGGGAATGTAGCACAATATATGTGCAGAAGGGTGTTTGAAACCATCAGATGAGGCTGATGATGTGTGCTGTGGTTAACTGATGGGGAAGAGTGGCAGCTATAAATAGTTTCCATTTATTGTTTACTCTGTGAAGGGCATTCTGCTGAATACTCTGTAAGAAACTGACTTAACAATAGATAGGATTTTGAGCAAAATTATGTTTTAGGAAGGTTATGTGGCTAAGGAGTAGACAAAAGAGGAAAGGAGATTTATAGTCTGATATCAAAGATGTTTTAAGACTAGCTTATGTTTGGCAAATGTATTTATTTAAAGAATACAAACATGAACAAATAAGGCATTTTAAAATGTGTGTGTGTATATATACTATATAATATATATGTATAGTATCAAGTACTGTTTCTAAATCTCAGAAACTTAGACTTCATGAATAAAAGGCTGCGACTTAGTAATTTCCATCTTGTCCAGTCTTGTTAGTCTGGTGTTACTTTTGGCTTCATTTTTCATTCATTATTATGAAGTCACAGGAGACTTCATGGTGGTCCAGGAGTTAGGACTGCACACTCTTCACTCCTGGGAACTAAGATCCCACAAGATGTGTAGTGCAGCCATAATAATAATGAAATTTTAAAAATAAAATATGAAGTTACAGAATATCTTTTGGAAGGTTTTTTTTTTTAATGTGGCAAAAGAAGTTTGCATCAAATGTCAACATTTAAAATACTGATTCCTGTGTTCTAACAATTCCATCATACAGTAAAATCCTTTTTAGGGGTGCAGGACTAGTTTTATTTAAAGACTATTCACCCTGCTTATTTCTCTCTTTTGGCTTCAATTCTTGGGGCATTTCCCTAAAATAAGTAGCATTTATTGCATGTTCACTGTATGTTAGGCAGGTAATACTTTCTCATTTAATTCTTACTATAACTGATTTCCAGAATTAGAGGTGCAGAAACTGGGGCTCAGGGAGGCTTGGTAATTTGCCTGTGTTAGTAAATAGATTCATGCTTAGGCAACTGCAACTGGATCTCATGCTCTTAGTCACTGAGCCAGATTACAGTTCACATCTCCATTGGAGATTGGCCAAGGAAAGCTAGTGTACTGTTTTTTTTTTTGTTAACAGTTCTGTCCAGAGTTTCATCTTTCTTAACTAAAACTTAAGGTTGTCTTCTGACAGTATGCTTATTTTTTCACATTGTAGTATTTGAGAAATGTCTTATATTTTCAGTTTATCAGTCCTGTTTTTGATAGGAAGCGGTTGTGTTTCAGGTGAAGAAACTTGAGCTCAGAGAAATGGCTGTGACTTGGGCTGGCACAGACCTATGTTTGTAGGTGGTAACAAGAACTGAAGCCATCAGCTGGTGAATTTGAGAGTGTACTAGGTTGTGCAACTGCTAGTTTGGAATGATTCTTTAGATTGCTGCCCTAAAGACATGATCTTTTTAACATTAATTATGTAGAGAGTTTAGTATTTAGACCTTGCACTCAACTCATGTACGTGTATTAATCCATTTTCAGGGTTTGAATGCCGGTGTGGAAATGTTTACTGTGGTGTACACCGTTACTCAGATGTACACAATTGCTCTTACAATTACAAAGCTGATGCTGCTGAGAAAATCAGAAAAGAAAATCCAGTAGTTGTTGGTGAAAAGATCCAGAAGATTTGAACTCCTGATGGAATACAAAATCCTTTGACCATCTGCAAACTAAAAACTGACTTGAGGTTTTTTTTCCTAGTCATTGGGAATGTAGAGCAATGTATCTTGCATAGACCTTTAATCATACATGTCATCAGAAGAATAGATTTTTGTTTTTGTTTTGAAAATGACTCTGAACATTTATTTCCATTGCAGTTTCTGTGGCTGAAAAAAGTAAACTTTACGAGTATTATCCTTTTAAGATCATTTTAATTTTAGTTGAGTGCAGAGGGCTTTTATAACAAATGTGGAGAAATTTTGGAGGGCTGTGATTTTTTCCCAGTATTAAACATGCATGCTTTAATCTTGCAGTTTATTTTCTCATTGTGTATGTATATATAGCTTTTCTCTGCAGCACGATTTCTGTTTTGATAATGTCCTTTAGGGCACAGCTAGTTACCAGTAACTGAATGTATCTTAATCATTATGGCTGCTTCTGTTTTTCCTTAACAAAGGTTATACATATGTTAGCATATAGTTTCTTTGCACCCACTATTTATGTCTGAATCATTTGTCACAGGAGAGTGTGTGCTGATGAGATTCTAAGTTTGTGTGTTTTTAAGTTTTTTTGAGCGAGGGAAGGAAAAGCTGTACGCATTTCATTGCTGACTGCAGGTTTCTTTCAGATGATGTTCATCGGTCTGTGTGTATACAATATGAAGAATGATCTGAAGTAATTGTGTTGTATTTATGTTTATCCACCAGTCTTTGATTAAATAAAAGGAAAACCATAACGTTTCCTTGCATTACTTTTTCTCCGTTACTCTTGCTAGTAGTTCATTTTGACTTCTAGTCCTTTAGTTTTCTGCTTTACTGATTTTGTGAGATGAGCTCTCACATCTATCTGTGACTGATACTTAACGATGATAAATTGTGATCTTACATTCCCATGAGTTGAACGTGTCATATTTTCCAGCTCTTGTTTGTTTCTCTGTTCTGAACTCTGTCACAACGAATTAGTTCTAGTAGAAGCTTCTTTTTCTAGTAGGATTAGAGCAACTGAAAGAACATAACTCAAACATGGAGAGCTGGAGAACTGTGGAGTAGAAAGATCTCCAAAAAGCCATTTGTTGTGTGGTTTTTAAACTTACCTGGCAGCCAGCCTTTTAAAAACTTGAAATAGTATGTAAAACAGATTAAATAGTATTTTACAATACAGATTTCTAAGTTTATATTTGTTTACTTAATACTTGTGTATTCCATATTAGTATGTGTATTCTCCCTCCATATGTAATGATGACTTAGCATTGGAATCTGTAAATATTAAATAAGAGAAAACCATTATGACTATCTTAGTAGATCCAATTAAAGTATATGATAGGATTTAACACCGCCCAGTCATAATAAAAACTTCGATAAATTAGGACTCGAAAGGAATTTCCTTAAGGTGATAGTTTCTGTGTAAATCTGTAAAACAAAAAACAAGCATCTGCCACAAAGAGGAAATTTCATACCCCTTTAAATTCAGAAACAAAGGGCTGGTTTTCCACTATCACTGCTTTTGTTCAAAATTGTGTTGAATCTCCATCCTAGTCAATAGAAAAAAATTTTTGTAAGAAATAAAAAGTAGGAAACACTAATTATTTGTACATTACACGTTCTTTTTTTGTAGAAAACCCAAATCTAAAGAGAAAGTACCAGAAATACCAGGGTTTCATTACAGAGGTAGGTGTAACATTTATTTTCTGAAGCCAGTTGCATTTCTTTGTATCAGTAACAATCAAAACTGGAGGACACGTTTTACAATAGTATTAACACCGAGTTCCTAGGAAATTAACAATGTATGTTGAAGACCTCTTTTAAAAAGAAAAATTTTCAAACATTATTAAGAGATAACAACTAAGACCTGAAAAAGTAGGGAGAGAGAGAAGTTTGCAGCTAGGCAGACAATGTCAAGAAGATGTATTTTGTACCCAAATAGACCTATAGATTCAAAGCAGTCCCTATCAGAGTCCCACCAAGTTTCCTCCTGAAACGTGTTAAGGTGATTCTAAATTAAAAGATAAAGATGAGCCCAAGGCTAGGACATTTCAATAACGAAAAATCAGGGAGGTGGGCATTTTTCCACTCTTACGTAAGACTCATCATGAAGCCACGTTCATTAAAATAGCATGGTATTCCCTAAGGGTCATACAGAATCCTAACAGATTAGACCAAAATGCCCCAAAAAAGCCATGCGTGAGGTGAACTGGGTATGAGGTACGCCACACCACATTGGGGGAAGGAGACCGTGATCATGACAGCTCGCCCAACTGGTCATCAGCCTAGAAAAGAGGTGAAAATTGTTCCCTGTCTCATACCACAGCGAAAAAATTCATGAATTAAATGTAAAACAAAATTTTTTAACTCTCAAAAAAAGATGATTACTGCTTCAGCCTTGGGTATAGAAGGACTATATAAGACAAAAAGCATGGACTGCAAGTGTTACTGATGAATTTGTCTATTAAAATGAGGCATTTTAAACCAAAAATACCTTACGGTAAAACCATCAAAGAAAGTGAAAAGCCAGGTTACAAACCAGGAAAAGTTAAAATGCAAATCAATACCACAATTAAGATACTATTTTATACCCATTCAGTTGACAAAGATTTTAAAGTGTCTAGCAGCATCTAGTGTTTGAAGGGTTGCTGACATTAACCAAAAGTGGTTCAGTCCTTAGGACGGTTTGGAAACTAGTACCTTTTAAAATTGGACTTTCAAACATCCTATAATCCACAAATTTTACTCCTCTAAGTATGCCCCAGGAAAACCTGCATATAGAAAACAGTACACAGGTACAGCAATTTTCAAAGCCTTGTTTACAGAAAGCAAAAATCCAGAAACCACTCAATTCCCCTTGAAGAATGGATAAAATGTGATATATTCTTACAATGGATTATAAATAGTGATCAAAACTAGTGGGCCCTAGAGACAACAAAATAGAAGTACCTGCAGTCCACAGTCTTAATTACAAAGAGTTTTAGGTGACCACATGTTAAAGTCGGAAGTCTGGGTGATGGTTTTTTTGTTTTGATGTGTTTTTCCCACATACATGATTTATTCCTTAAAACTTTTATTTAGGAGAAAGCCCCAGATACTTAAGTCGAAAGAGGTCATCCTTTTTAAAGATTATTATACAAATTGCTTAATTGAGACTTTAGTTCTAAGTAACTCAGCTTACTAGTATGCCCACCATTTCTAAGGTAGACTGTTTCTAATGTTTTTGTTTTTTTAAATGAAATACCAAAACCACAATTCATGGAAAGAAAAAAATGGGTAAGTTGAACTTCAAAGTTAAAAATTTCTCTGCAAAAGCCATTGCCAAGAGAACAAGACAAGCCACAGACTGGGAGAAAAGATTAGCAAAACACAGTAACAAAAGACGTAACCCAAAATGAAAAGTAACTGTAAGAAAGCAAACCCAGTTAAAAAATAGTCAGAATATCTAGACACCTCATCAAAGGAGATACACAGATGGCAGATAAAACGAAAAGGTGGTCAATATGTCATTGGAGAATAGCAAATTAAAATGAGATGGCACTAATACCTACAAGAAGAGCTAAAATCCAAGATACAACCCCAAATGCTATCGAGGATGTGGCGCAACAGGAATTTGAATTCATTGGTGATGGGAACGCAACATGGGACAGAGGAAGAAGTTGGGCAATCTCTTAAAGTTAACCGTAGCCTTACAGACAAGCAGTTAGTTGCACTCCTAGATATTTGTCCAAATGAATTAAAGACCATGTCCACACCAAAACCTGCACCCAAATGTTTTTAGCAGCTTTATTTATCCATAATTGCAAAAAATTAGCCAAGATGTCCTTCATATGTACCCAAAAACTGTAGTACATCTGTATAATGAAATGGTATTTAGCAATAAAAAGAAATGAGCCATCAAGGCACAAAAAGACATGAAGGAACCTTAAATATATATTGCTCAGTGAAGCAGTCTGAAAAGACTCGCTAATATGACATTCTGGAAAAGGCAAAACTACAGTCTCAAGAGGAGCTCTGTGTTCAGGTAGAAAAAGGAAGGGATGAAAAGGTGAAGCACGGAGTTTTAAGGCAGGGAAACAGCTTCCATGACACTAATGGTGGGTACATAACTATGCATCTGTCCAAACTTGTAGAATCCTATAACACGAAAAGCAACCGCCTGGGACTTCCCTGGGGGTCAGGGGCTTAGACCTTCTTTTTTTTTTTTATCTTTATTTTTTCTATTTATTTTTATTAGTTGGAGCCTAATTACTTTACAATATTGTAGTGGTTTTTGTCATACATTGACATGAATTAGCCGTGGATTTACATGTATTCCCCATCCCGATCCCCCCTCCCACCTCCCTCTCCACCTGATCCCTTTGGGTCTTCCCAGTGCACCAGGCCCGAGCATGCATCCAACCTGGGCTGGTGATCTGTTTCACCCTAGATAATATACATGTTTCGATGCTGTTCTCGAAACATCCCACCCTCGCCTTCTCCCACAGAGTCCAAAAGTCTGTTCTGTACATCTGTGTCTCTTTTTCTGTTTTGCATATGGGGTTATCGTTACCATCTTTCTAAATTCCATATATATGTGTTAGTATGCTGTATTGGTCTTTATCTTTCTGGCTTACTTCACTCTGTATAATGGGCTCCAGTTTCATCCATCTCATTAGAACTGATTCAAATGAATTCTTTTTAATGGCTGAGTAATATTCCATGGTGTATATGTACCACAGCTTCCTTATCCGTTCGTCTGCTGATGGGCATCTAGGTTGCTTCCATGTCCTGGCTATTATAAACAGTGCTGCGATGAACACTGGGGTGCACGTGTCTCTTTCATATCTGGTTTCCTCGGTGTGTATTCCCAGAAGTGGGATTGCTGGGTCATATGGTAGTTCTATTTCCAGTTTTTTTAAGGAATCTCCACACTGTTCTCCATAACGGCTGTACTAGTTTGCATTCCCACCAACAGTGTAAGAGGGTTCCCTTTTCTCTACACCCTCTTT